CCCCACCCCTTCCCGACGCAACGCGTGTACCACCCGACATGTAAATAACATCCGAAAGGCCCCTTCTACCCCATACTTCTAAAACGAGTGGAAAACAATACATCGCCAACGATAACCTCTCCCCCTCTCCCCTCCCCAATAAAGGCCCGGGACGTGAGGCGCTGTCGATCCCCCCGCTCACCGAGCGAGCGCGGTGCACGTGAAGCAACGAGACAAAAAAATGGGATGGAAGAGAGGGGGATGAAATCCGCGAGCCGTCCTCGCACCTGTTGCCCCTCACGACTCGCGACACCGTTTCTTTCTTTCCCACTAAAAAGACGGCGAAAGATATGGTCAACCCGCTTCCTCATTTCTCAATTTCATTATTTCACGTCGTAGCTCAGCATATCGTGTCCTCACAGTCTTTTTGAGGAACTCTCATAATTTAGGGAAAACTCCTAAGATTTTGAGAAAGTCTCCTCAAAACGTGAAAGCTGTTGTTCGAATTTTCTCTCTCTCCTACAAAAATTCAGACATTGTTTTTACATGCGCTTACAACGCCCTCAACGAACTGCACTGAAAAAATTGTTTGTTGTAAAACAATTATTTTTGTGATGTAATGGTTGTTGGAAAACAAAATATTTGTTTTGAATAAAAATGGAAATTTGTAAAATGGCCAAAAATGTGGTTACTAAGCAATCAGACATCTACGAGTAGAAGGTTAGGTCGGATTACGCTCACAACCGATGGGTGACACTAATTGCAACTTCAGTCATGACCCATGGTTTGCCGTATAGCACACTTTGTCACAAGCGCAGGCACGCAGGGACCTAAAAATCAGGCTATAGTTCCTCCTCACAGATAACAACATTTTCGACGGTTGGGTATGTCAGTTTTGACCGTCCAATTTTGAACCCCACCCCCCTCGGCGGGCGAAGCCAGGTCTCGTCGCTGGGGTAGATGTGCCCCCCCCCCCCTCCGCCGCGGTGGGGCCCCGCGGCCAGTGGGTGCGGTTACCCCGTTGTGGCCACGAGGCGGGGTGGGAGGGGGGACGGGAGTTGCGAGGGGGGCGACCGCAAGATGGCGGCGGGCGACAAGATGGCGGTGTCAGCGGTGCGCCCCGGGCCGAGCCGCAGCGGCGGTCTGGGTCGCGGTGAGTGACTGGACTCGACTTACTAGGCGGCGGCCATGGTGGCGAGGTGGGGCTGGGCTGGGCTGGGCCCGGCGGTCAACCCAAATCCCACCACGGATCTGCGTGCAGCGTCAGAGCATGGGCCAGGAAAAAGTGACTGTAACCAAGAAAATGTATGAGTAACGAGTAACTTTTAAGTAGGACCCAGGCCCAGGCTCTCCAGTGTGGCGGGTTTGCCTACTGCGTGCGGCTGTAAGGTGCCAGGTGCCATGGCCCCTGCCATGCAGCCCTAACCGATATGCAATTCCGCAACATTGGAGCGACTTTAAAGATACGACCGGTACACAATGTTGTCAACGCCCCCTCCCCCAACAAAATGAAAAAAATAATGATCAACAACAGGTTTTGCTTTAAATTTGCCCAAAGTTCGGAACACATTAAATACGCACGTTTCGTAAAAGTTTTGTATTTTACCCAAGTGTTGAATGTTCAAATGCATCTCTATTCTCAGTAAAGTACCCCATAACTTGCGTTATTCTAACAAAATACGTGAGAAGAAAGGAGGGGGAAAAAGTAAGGGTCCCATGAGACCAGAAAAAGCCCGAGCCGGTGATAATCCACACGCTGCATAAATGTAACAGAAACATTTTTTTCTGAAATCTCAGGAGAAAGCCTGGCGGAGAGAGACACAATAACAGCAGCCCCACCCGCCGCGCCCCAACGCCCCAGCGGGGAAAGGAAAGAGTGTGCTTTGCGTGTTAACAAGCCGTTTTCACTTTGCTTGCTCCGCCGCCGGTGTTCCATAGCAGACCCGGGGTCCCCTGCGAACCTGAGCCGAGCCATCCCCACAGCCCTTTCTCTTTCACCCTCTC